TATTCTCCTGAGCCGAGTTATTATTTATGTGAATTTTCACAGTTGACTTAATTTTTTCAATTGTGATTCTGAGACCAACTTAATGAAAAATAACAGAACTAACAAAGGTAACAGATTTTAACAAGTGCTGATTTACATTACATGAGATGTGGCATTTGTATGCTTAAACTGCCTTCAGGTTAGAAGACTACGTGATCAGAAGTTTGATGCAAACGTCCAGAAAGCGTCAGTCATCATAAAATGCTGCAATAAATGGGCAACCTGCAGTATTCAATGGGAGACAACTTTGCACTATTGAAATTAATGCAATTATGAAAGTAAGTATGTGGTGTGTGGATTGTACTATGTAGAAGAATGAATTGCATTGAATTGCTCTGCCTCCTATTCTACTTTTAAATATCCTAGGAACCAAAAGTAAGCCTGCAGTCTGAGAGCGAAGTGCTCTAATGGGGTGATATGGTACTATGAGGTCTTTAAAGATGTGGCCAGATTATTCAAGACCTTATATGTGAGGAGAAGGATTTTAAAGTGGATTCTGGAGCCGATGAAGAGAAGCCAATATGGTAGAAATATGCTCTCTCTCTGGTCCCTGTTAGGACTCTCACGGCAGCATTTCGGACCAACTGGACTTTGAAGGTTTTCAGGAAAACCTAATAATTATGAATTGCAATAGTCGAGCCTAGAAATAATAAATACGTGAACTAATTTTTCAGCATCACTCTGAGACTGTTTCTAATTTTAGAGATATAAGCATTGAAGAACATATCCTGGTCGAAAACGTGTGGCCAGCATCTGGTTAGACACCATGTTATGGATATGTAGCTTATGTATGACCACCAGTTTGCTATACTGGTTTAAAAAGCACAGCTAAAGCCAGTTTAAATGGCTGGGTTTGGGCACATTTATGACTTACATGTAACACAATACTCCTTATGAACTAGCTTAAGATTCAGTTAATCTCACTGAGGGGTGATGTGCACATTTTCAGGTTAAATAATTCTCTCATTTACAAACATCTTCTTGATTTTGCTCCAGATTTTTTGGTCTGGTTTATTCTTTCTGCTTGAATTATTCTTGAAATGTGTCTCAAACTGCACCAGATTCCCTTTGTGGCACACTGAGTTGATTGGGGATAATATAGTGAGGCATACACATGTGCACATAAAAGTCCTGCCTGCAATCCACGCTGCTTATCGGGGTAATATCAGTGCAATGAAATCCAAAGAACTCTCTGCAGATCTGTGTGGTTACACTGTGGTGAGGCAGAAATCAGACCAAGGGTAGGAAATCATTTCTAAAGGTTTGAGTGTTCTGGGGAGAATATGGTCTAAATATTTATGAAACGGAAGACATTTGAAACCATCTGGACCTTTCTGAGAGTTGGCTGTTGGGACAAGCTGAGTAAACAAGCAAGTAGAAAGTTGACCAAGAAATCAGCCTGCCAAAAGGATGAGCATCCCAACAGCTCACTGTCAGTCACTTTTACAGCAGTCAGACAGAAGCAAGTTTTAGTCTCTCAGAAATAGTCAGACTGCTTTCAGAGAGTAGTTCATACTTTCCATCCAGTTTGGTAACACTTGAAAGGGAGATTGGGATAATA